GTGTGAGAGCGTCATAAATTCACAATCCTGATGGTTATGTTATTTTGTCTATATTCATGAATAAGCACATATGACATTTGACTATTTGAGAATAAAAAACAACAACACTTTCAGCAAAGCAAATTAAATGTTGTTTCCCAATGCGATCATCATGGACAACGATAGACAACCTACTCCCAACCTCAAATGCTGTCATGAACAACGCATGTTTTCAACTTTCAACTCTCTCACACACACCTTTCAAATACGAAACTCCACCAAGTGCTTCTAGTTCTACCAAGTTAGCTAGACCATTAATCAGCATATATTGCACCTAAACTCTCGCTTTCTCCGCTTTAATTTCTCATTCTCCCCATCAAATCATCAATACATTGATCGTTCCATGCATGGAGAAGAGAAAACTACTCACCAAGGATGAAACCTTTCTCCAACACCCTTTTGTCCTTGCTCTTGTTCTGGTATTCGGTCTTGTTATGATGGACCCTTTTCATATGGGTCCTTTGGCCGAGCACCAATTCAGACCCGTGAAGCATGACATTGCACCCTACCACAAAGTCATGAAGAATTGGCCTAGGGACAACATTAGCAGATTAGCACTTTATGGCAAATCAGAATTCGAGAATCAAGTCTTTGGACCAGAGTCACTCGAGTTTGATAACATGGGTCGTGGCCCTTACACTGGTTTAGCTGATGGCCGCGTTGTACGATGGATGGGAGACGAACTTGGTTGGGAAACATTTGCAGTTGTCACATCTAATTGGTAACGATCACCAAAAACTTACTTTCTACTTTTCTTTGACCCAAAATTCAGTTCATAAATTGAACAAACCAGACAGGTTCATCATCTGATACAGAATTGTTTCAGATTAACCAATAATTTCAAATTTGAGTATGATGTACATCTGCATGAAATATCTGGAGTGATAATTTTTTCAGACATATATATATATATATATATATATATATTCTAGATCATAATTGTCTCTTATATCTTAAAACGTTGTTGTATAAGATAAACTGACATGCAGTATTATAAGTTTTGATGTTTTTTTTAATCAGAATTAAATTTTCACTTCGCTAATAAGCATAACAAATACAAAGGATTTCATTTAATGTGAATACATGTTACTAAAATAAAACTTTTATATTGATTGGATAACAACACCAAACAGGACATTATACTGCATGTTGATGACATGGGTGATTTTGTGTCTTGTTTAAAGGACGGAGAAACTGTGCTTTAGGGGCAATGATTCTACCACTGCGAAGCAATGGAAGCATGAGAAAACATGTGGGCGTCCTCTAGGACTAAGGTTTGACAAAGAGAGTGGAGATCTATACATAGCAGACGCATACTATGGTCTTCTCGTGGTTGGACCTGATGGGGGACTTGCTACACCATTGGCAACACATGTTGAAGGAAAGCCAATTCTCTTTGCAAATGACCTTGACATTCATAAGAACGGATCCATCTTCTTCACAGACACCAGCAAGAGATACAACAGAGTGTGAGCGTTTATCATATATATATATATATACACCATTCAGTCATAAACTATATTTTAAGTATATTAATGCAACCCTTAATTGTTTGCAGTGCGCACTTTTTTATATTATTGGAAGGAGAAGCCACTGGTAGACTCCTAAGATATGATCCTCCAACTAAAACAACCCATATTGTATTGGATGGCCTTGCTTTTCCTAATGGAGTGCAATTTTCTGAAGACCAATCCTTCCTTCTCTTCACTGAAACCACCAATTGCAGGTAAGTATAAAACTATAAATCTTCCTAACATAACAAGTCCCAGCTAATGTTACTGATTCATGAATTCTAAAATGGGATGATGACAGGCTAATGAAGCTTTGGATGGAGGGTCCTAAAAGTGGAAGTGTGGAGCTTCTAGCTGATCTTCCGGGGTTTCCAGACAACGTAAGAATGAACGAGAAAGGGGAATTCTGGGTGGCAATAGATTGTTGTCGCACTCCAGCTCAAGAAGTTCTGAGTCACAATCCATGGCTGAGGAACATTTACTTCCGTTTGCCGATCAGAATGAGCGTGTTGGCAAGAGCGATGGGGATGAGAATGTACACAGTGATTTCGCGTCTGGACGACAAGGGACAGATTTTGGAAGTTCTTGAAGATCGAGAGGGTGAGGTCATGAAGCTCGTCAGCGAAGTCAGAGAGGAGAAAGGGAAGCTCTGGATTGGAACTGTGGCGCATAACCATATTACAACTTTGTCATACCCTTAACTTAATTACCCTTTTCATTTCTTCTTCTATCTATTTCTATTTTCTCACCATATAATTAATGTAGTGTGTGTGCTCTGTTTAGGATAATAAGATAGACTCTGCAACTTCCACGCCTATAAAATCTTTATGGAATTCCTTTTTCATCTCTCTAAAAATTCTAATTTTTTAAACAACTTTTTTTTTTTTTTGCAATTTCTTTATTTAGTTAACTGTTGTATATAATCATATTGGAATTTTTTCGGATTACTTGTTTTTTTTTTAATACATTCTTTCACGTCCAACATAAATAGCGGATGACCCTTTTTTAATGATTTATGATTGATGGGACTTGAGAAAAGTTTTTCTCAATAAACCTTATGGCACATGTATCAATAGTAGGTAGTTCATTTAAAGTGGATTTAGATAAATCTGATATCATTTTAGAATAGTAGATTTAAGTCTAATTCAACTCTACAAAACCAGCTTATAAGGTGAAAGTTGTTTTCCACTTATATACTATTTAATTATCTAATCTCTAGTCAACGTAGAACTTGAATTTTTTCCAATATAAATACTTATTAAAAAAATTATCCAAAAAATTAGAATTAAAATACATAAATTAATTTGTTGACTTTTTTATGTTAATTTCTCAAAAATAAATATTTTGTAATTTATGCATAAGTTAACTTATAAATAAACCTGTTAAAAAAAATCTTTTCCAAGAAGTGTCCGGAGAAGCTTTTTCATATCCTTAGTTTATAACTATTTCTTATCATTTCACCTGCCCATTAAGTGGAGGAAGATTGAAATAAATGAAAATTAGATTTACAAAACTTGTTTCTTTAGGTTTAGCTTTCATGACTTAAATCCATATTACTTTTAGGTACTTTCTTTGAAGGATCATTAAAGAGTGGTGTATTGGTGGACAAGTTTTTAAAATGTTATAGTTTGAAATACGTGTCCAGCTGTTTGACATCATTAGATATATTTTTTTTAAAAATAAACAGTGTAGATTGAGCTGGGTTGAAAAAAATGGTTTTATAATAAACTTTTTTATATTATAGAAATGTTCATTTTGACCAATAATATCGAGGCTAAACGACCATTGTGGGGTACTATTAGAAATTTATTATCAAAATGGGGCTGTTTTAAAACATTTTACACCTTTGGGGTTCTTTTATTGGGTGTCGCTATGGCCCATAGCGACACCCATGACACGTGGCATTTTTGGGTCTGAATATGAGCCATGAACGCCATATTGGTAGAGTCGCTGTAGCTGGTGGAGACCTTCAAAGAATCGTTATAGCCTATAGCGACTCAAATCGGCTAAAAACGAAAAAAAAAAATTATTTGGGGCGCTATAGCCCATAGCTCCACTCAGGCGCTATGGGCCACAGCGCCTGTGTTAAAAATATATCTAATATTTTTAAAATATATCTTATATTTTTAAAATTTAAATTTTTTTTACAAATTTATAAAAAAATAACAGGTAAAAGGGAAAAAAAGATTGAAATAAGAAAAAAATGTTAATTTTAAAAAATAAGTAATAAAATGTAAAAAATAATTAAAAAACAAAAAAAAAATTATTTGGGGCGCTATGGCCCATAGCTCCACTCAGGCACTACGGGCCACAGCGTCTGTGTTAAAAATATATCTAATATTTTTAAAATATATCTTATATTTTTAAAATTTAAATTTTTTTTACAAATTTATAAAAAACTAACAGGTAAAAGGGAAAAAAAGATTGAAATAAGAAAAAAATGTTAATTTTAAAAAATAAGTAATAAAATGTAAAAAATAAATAAAAAACGAAAAAAAAAATTGACTTGGGGCGCTATGGCCCATAGCTCCACTCAGGCGCTATGGGCCACAGCGCCTGTGTTAAAAATATATCTAATATTTTTAAATATAAAATTTTAAAAATAAATTATACAAAAATTTCTGATAAAAGGTAAAATAATAATTGAAAATTTAAAAAAATAAATTTTAAAACTGAAGTAATATAATGTGAGAAATAATTAAAAAAAAAAAATCGAAAAGTGGGCCGCTAGGGCCCATAGCGCCTCACAGGCGCTATGGCCCACAGCGGTTTGGTTAGCAGTTAGAAAATTTAATTACCCAGTTGCCACGTGTGAAATTATCGCGATTTCAACCAATGGTAATTTGACACGTGGCATTAAACAGTAAAAAATGAATAAAAAAACCTCTTTATATATACTAGTTTTTTACCTTTGGTCCCCACTTCTTTGTTTCACCCCCACCGCGAGAGCCTCCTCCAACTTGGTTAAGGTGAGCATTTTTTTTCGTTTTTTAATTTAATTATAGTTTTTTTTTATAAATATTTTGTAACGTATATATATTATATTTATTATTGCAGGTTAATTTTGTTTTTTTGGATTTTCGTAGATCTCCAGAGGTATTTTGTTTTTGATTATTTTCTGTAATTTAATTATTTGTATTTATTTATTTAGTTATTGTATTTTAATTTGTTATTTATTTAGTTTTTTATTTTTTTAGTTATTGTAATTTAATTTGTTATTTTTCTATTTTTTTGGGTAATTTTTTTTAAAGTCGCTATGGGCTATATCATTTTAAATAAAATATTTAAAAAACAGATTTTATTTAAATTTTAGATTTTATAATTTAATTCTGTGTAATAAAGTAATTATGAGTTTAATATTTTCTGTTTGTGAAGTGACGAAATCCTGTATCATTTTAAATAATTTATTTAAATTTCAAAAATTATTTATTTTTAAATTAATTTACAAAATAAGTAATATAATAAAAACAATAATTTAAAAACCAAAAAAAAATAAAAAACTTTGGGGCGCTATGGCCCATAGCTCCACTCAGGCGCTATGGCCCATAGTGCCAACAAGAAAAATATAGCAAATATTTTTTAAATATCAAATTTATATAGAAATTTGAAAAAAAATTACGAATAAAAGGGAAAAAAAGGATTGAAATTTTAAAAAATGTTAATTTTAAAAAATAAGTAATAAATTGTAACAAATAATTTAAAAACGATTTAATTTATTTCTGTGTCATTCAATTTATATAAATTTTAAATTGATTTAATTTAATTCTGTTTTATTTATGTTAATTAAAAACAAAATTTATTTATATTTGAAATACCTTTAATTTATTTCTGCTTAATTTAAATTTTTTTCGTAAATAATTATATTGAAATTATAAATTGATATAATTTATTTCTGTGTAATTTATGTTTATTAAAAAAATAAATAATTACAAATTTATAAATGATTTAATTTATTTCTGTGTCATTAAATTTATATAAATTCTAAATTGATTTAATTTAATTCTGTGTTATTTATGTTAATTAAAAAAAATTGATTTATATTTGAAATACGTTTAATTTATTTCTGCTTAAATATTGAATTTATTTATTTTAATTCTGTTTTAATTTTATTTAATTAAAAAATAAGTTTATTTAAAATTTGAATTTATTTCATTTAATTCTGTTTTAATTTTATTTAATTATAAAAAAGTTTTTTAAAATTTTTTAATTTATTTAATTTAATTCTGTTTTAATTTTATTTAATTAGAAAATAAGTTTATTTATATTTTAAATTGCTTTAAGAACCTTTTTGAAGATACGTTTTTTATGTTATCTTATTTATTTTTTTCAGATTATTGTTAGTTAATTTGAATTTATTGGTGGATTTCCTCATCTCAAATATTACCAGGTATTTATTATTTTCAGTTTGAATATTTGTTTTTCTTTTAAAATTAAGTAGTCGGTATAGGTTTTATCAAATTATTTATTTAATTGATTAATTATTGTCATTTATTTGAAAATTATATATGATGTTAGTATGTTATTATTTATTATTTTGGTATAATAATGTCAATGAAATTTTCAAAATAAATTATATGTTTTAAAATAATTCATTTTATTACATTTTGTTATAGATGGCAACATCATCATTATCTTCTACGGGCATGCGTGTGACATGTGGACCAGTCGACGATGATTTATTATCGTTGCAAAATATGCATGTGTCACAGCATGTTTGGAACAGAGATGAAGACAGGAGACTAGTAGCACGACGTGCTGCTCCGTCGCGTAGTGGAATTGCAGGAGTTAACGTCACTATCAGCTACTTCACAATTATCGATTTCATCTTCATTTGATTCATCATTGCTTTCATATGACAATGAAACATGATAGTCTTCATCATCTTCGTCATCTTCATCTTCGTCTCTTGTCATCACCGGTGATCGTTGAATTGACAAATTTTCTAACGAAATTGTTGAAGATTCTAAGTTACCTATTTCAGCATGTAATTCCATTATTGGCATCACATTCTGACTCATAAAAGCTTCTATCATGCATTGTACATCATCATCGTCACTCAATTCCAATGAAGAATATCTGCTCTCACCATGCTGTGAAACAACAAATCTGTAAGTTACAGATAATATAACTTGATTTAACTTAAGATGAAATTTGTTGTGAATTCTTCTCTTTAATATATCCAAAGTTAAACCTCGCTTAATATACATCCCTTTTTTTGGTCCCTCAAATGTTACACCACATTATGGACTTTCATACATCCTTCCAGTGTAAATATAAGCTATTATTTGATCCATAATATCTGCAGAAAAATTCAAATATTAGTACAAATACATACAACTTATTTAAACTACAAAAAATTTCAATCATAAATAAGAATTTAAAGCTCAACTTAACAGGAGCAAAGAACCAACCAGACTGATTTAGTGGATAAATAACAAATACAGTAACAAAAACAACAAATGAAGTAGAGATATCGATGTGATTTACCAGAACGGAGGGGGGGTATATATACTACAAGAGTCTCCATCACCTATAGCGACATCTACATAAATTATTTAATAAAAATTTAAAAAAATTGAAGTCGCTATGGGTCATAGCTCCAGTTTTAAAAATATATGTATTATTTTATAAATATAAAAATTGTTTAGAAATTTATAAAAAAAATAACGGATCAAAGCGAAAAAAAAGAATTGAAATAAGAAAAAATATAGTTTTTAAAAATTTAGTAATATAATGTCAAAATATTTTAAAAACGAAAATAAAAAATAAAAAATTGGGGCGCTATGGCCCATAGCTCCACTTAGGCGCTATGGCCCATAGCGCTAGTTTAAAAAATATATCTAA